GCGATAAGCTCCCATGGTTGATTGAGGTATTATTTTTACAATAGTACTTCAATTTTCTTTGGTAGTCTTATCGTTACAATAGTTTTAGTTAGTCTTGGGAAGAAAAAAAAAACAAAAACCAAAAAATAAAAAACAAAAAATGCTTTCTACCTAAGTCATCGCAGACTTGCTGAAATAGGGTGAGGTAACATATTAATAAACTAAACATGTATAAAAGGCCCGTCATGTCTTTTATAAACCATAATAGCGGAATAGGTCCCTCAGGCAGATCAAGTGAAGATCTATTCGCGAACTTCGAGCACTGAGGTCATGTGCGGCATACATGGGCTCAATGGACGGACCCAACTCAGATGCTCAGTCGACGAGGAGAACTAAATTTATTTTGCCAAATCGGCGGCTGAGTGGCCGAGCACACACTTATATTTTTGTCTATCATGGCACAATGAGGGAAACACACACTTTTTCTTTTAGGGACTAAAGTCCCGACGTCATGCTAGGGTAACTTCTATTATCAGTAAAGTAAATAGGGAGAAATGCCAAAATGTGTACTACTCCTACAGTTAGGTAGATTAACCACAGTCAATAAAAGCAGACGGTGTTCCATTACCCAGGGCACTCAAAGTAACTTTCAGATCATAAGCCTCCTCACGTAAGTCACACGCTGAGGAGAGGTGGAAGAAAAGCCTGGGGGTCAGATAGGTAACACTTTAAGAACGATGTGTGAACGGTTTGATCTTCAGACATGTGGATCCCACTTTACAATGGTATACAAATGTTCCTAGGGGCAGGGATAATCACTGTGTGTGTGTTTAACTTTATTGCCCTGTTTTGGTGAATAAATAAATAAATTTTCAATCGGTTGACTAGTTCCTGTTTTATACGAAAAAATGTTTTAAAACGATGAGAGTAGGAAAAATGTTTAATAGTATTACACGAAAATTCATTCAAACTTAGATCAAAATTTTCAAATTATTTTTTTTTTCAAATTATTTGTTCAATCACGAAACAATACTATAACGATACTGTGAACTATAACGATACATGTGCAAATTTTCAGCAAAATCGGTCGATTTATTCATGAGATATGTTGCTTACTGCACGGAAAAACAAAAGTTCTGAGGAAAACGAGTTTAAAGTTTTTAAGCTGAAAGCTCACGTACCAAGAGCGCGCTATTCGAATTTCAATACCTCCGGTAATATTTCTCAAATTTACTCAAAATTTGGTGTGAATACTCTTAAGTACCTTCATATAAAATTTAAAAAAATCAATTTTTTAAAATTACAAGATCAATATAACCCTTTAAAACGAAACCAAAAGAGGCTGACTTATACTAAATTAGGAGCTTCTAATTTCAAATAATTGTTTTTAAAATTACATTAGCTCTTATAAATCACAAAACCAATAAAAATAATTTGTGTAAGAAACCTCTCGAATATTTTACAAGCAGGAAAATGAATAGTCTAATATTAAATTTATCTGATAAATTATAACAGACAAATAAAGGTAGATATCTTGAAGTAATAAATCATAATTCATACCTTTGGCAAACTTAATGTCATGAGGTCGTCAGATGATTGAAATTGAATAGAAGAAATTGTCAACTATTCATTATATTTGAGAGCAACTAGTTATTGAACTGTCACATTACAGACATCATATTGTGCACTGTGCATAATCTTGCAGTGTTGAATATGTAAATATAACAACTCAATTTACGCAGTAGCATGCTTATATAGTACTTATGTTACTAAACATTTTCTGAAGAAAAAATAGGTATTTCCCAAGGTACGTTCATAAATCAAATAAAGTTTTTAAAGTTTAAATGATGAAATTTTCAAAAGTTAGTAATAAATGAGTTCAGATAGAAATTAGTTCTTAAAAGCCTAATTTGTAATCATAATTTTTAAATCTGCCTTGAATAGTTGAATACTTGAGTAGGTAGCTTATTATCACTGCCGATCATAAGCCTGGTTGAACGAGGGGTTGAAGGGTGATACCAGTAATTTGCTCCTATAAAAAGACTTATATAGTTAAAGACTAAGAAAAAAGGCAATAGAAAAAATTAAAGGTATCAAAACTACATTCTTTTACCTTGTTTTAATTACCGTATTCGAAGATTGACAGATTCCAGTAAGAGCTCAAGAAGGTATCTATTGAATTCTGACAGGCAACGGTAGGGGAAATCTTTTTTGAACATCTACGTCACGGAACAAGACACCCTGGCATTTTCTGGACAAGTATAATACTAGGCCAGAAGACTCCAGGGTAGCGCGGGATTAACTGGTAGTCGGTGTTAGAGTAGGCTAAAATCTTAATTACTGTTCCAAAGTAGTGGTGTTATCACACAATAAACAACTAAAAATCCATATATTAACCGTCACCTAAAAAGAAGAATAACTATATTATACTAAGAAAAAACTTACAAATTGCCATACTGATTAGCATAAATAAAAAAAATGTTTAAGAACAGCATAATTACCAAACGAAATCCAAAGAACCAATATATTTATGTGAGGTCATAAACTAATTTTGATACTTACCGGTTCTTGGCTTTCTAAAAAAAAAACAAGATTTTAGATCCATAGTTCAATTGCTTGCTTTGTCATCCTGCTCCTTCTTCATTACTCTAGAGATCAAACAGTGTACATTTCTCTCCATTCATCATTCTGTTTACCATGTTTCTTTCATTCAGCCTGAAACCCATTCGTTCTTGATGTCTCCCCTCTCATTTGCCCACTTCTGGCAGTTTAAAATGTAGGCAAAGCATTCGGCACAGAGCAATCACTACAGTCCACCGAGCCAGATTTGCCTATCCTATTTGTAAAGATGTCAAAACTACTATGTCCGGTCAGAAACTAGGTCACAAAGTAGTCTAGTTTCCTAAACTTACATTTCTATTACGGTCTCAGATCGAGAATAAGCTCCTTCGTCTACCTTACCTTTTCGGTATCATTCTCGTATTCTCTCTATCATTTTTTTATCGTTTTTCTGTTTTTCTTATTTAAATTTTATCCATCCTCATTGAATCCGATAGTGTGCATACCGTCGCACACTCTTTGCACGAAAGACGATCGGTATCATGGCTCCAATGACATACAGAGCCTCATTTAAGGCTATCCTGTAGGCGCTAGATTCCCTAAGGCGCCTTCGCCTTTGCGAATCCATCAGCCTAACGTATTTTGCAGTGTTCAGCTCTTACGGCATCAGCTGTATCAACGATTCCAGACTTCGATTCACCTTCTACACCATCTTTTGGATGCAACACGCAGGTGTCAGAGCGAGCAAGAAGAAGAAGAAGACGACATCCTGTCGTCCACCCCCAGGTCGTTAAAATTTTAAAACTAATCTACCTAGATGCAATATAGAAAACAGGATACTAAGAAAATTGACGGACTACGACGTTATAACAAGAACGGTGTATAGACGGCCGAAACAATAACTGGATATAAGGAAAAAGGAGGATAATGAAAAACTAAGATAGTCACAGAGTAATTAAATCAACGTTTTTTAGACAGTGAGTACCATGAATGGCTGCAGCAATTGAGTCATAGTCTGGCGAGACTAAAACGATAGTATATAAGAACAATATACACCGGAGTATGTAAGAGAATACACACTTCATAGTTAAGTTAGTATAGTAGTAGTAGTAGATACAAAAATAACTAAAAAAAAACCCGCCCACTGTCTAAACAAAATCACGTCTTCAACACAACATCGAATATCATATGAAGGCTGTTTCGTCACAAGACAATCCAAATCAAAATGTATAAAAGGCCCGTCAGGCCTTTTACACAGCCGTAAGGCTTATTCCACTCAGGCAGATCGTATACAGATCCTATCTCGATTTCCGAGCACCGAGGTCATATGCGGCATACATGGGTTCGGTAGCCTTACCCCACTCGGAGGCTTAGCCGGCCAGGAGAACAAAATTTATTTTGCCAAATTGGCGGCTGCATGTTCGAGCACACACTTTTTTTGGACAGACTATTAAAGTCAGTAAAGTAAATAGGGAAAAAGATATTTGTGCTTCCCCTACAGTTGGGTGGCTTAAATAAAGTCAACAAAAACAGTGGGTGTTCAATTACCCAGGACATTCAAAGGAACTTTCAGATCATAAGCCTCCTCACGTAAGTCGCAAGCTGAGGAGGGTTGGAGCAAAAGCCTGGGGGCAGGTAGGTACCACTTCAACAGCGAAGTGTGACCTGTTTGATCTTCGAACATGTGGATCCCATTCTACAATGGTATACACATGTTCTTTAGGGGCAAGGTTAATCACACATGTGTGTGGGTCAAAGAAAATTACAATACTTGGCTCATGTGATGGGAGGTGAAATATCTGCGAATGAGTTACTCCAAATCATATTAAAAGGTAAAGTAGAGAGTAAAAGTTTTTTGTAGAAAGACGCCAGATCTCGTGGCTAAAAGACATAAAGATTTGGTTTTACCAATAATTGCATATAAATTATACCTTAAAAGAAGAAGATTAATAACTAAAAGAAAAGAATTATATTTGAGCCCAAAGAAAGAGAATGATGATAATGTGTCTATATAAAACAAAACATTAAACTAAGTATAGAATTCTTGTGGCAATGGATCGTCCCCGACAATTATTTAATATTTAATCATTATATAAAATAATCCATTGTTTTAGTATTTAACATTAAAAATGCAACAAATTTTTGACAATAATATGAAAATATATTTAAAGATAAAGTAATTTACTGCAGACTGTCACTGTCTAAAGTGAACTGTAAAATTAAAAACATTTGCGTAAATATTTAAGACACATCTTTCTGTATAGAGTTTTTGAGCACACTGTATATTATATAGTGCACATCTAATTTCTTCTGAGTACATTACATTAATTAACATGACCTTAAATATCGACCAAAGGTACGGGGTGCGCCTTCAAAAGAAAAGACGGTTTAAACATTTAAGCGAAAAGTGGGGGCTTGGTATAAAAGGTAATAAATATGATGTACAATAACTACTGTTTTTGGTTGTTGTGAACTGCGTTTTTGTTTTTTCAAAAAATGATATTTGTAAGTACGTTTTATATTTTCAAATAAAAATAAATCATATGGCACTAAACATTTTGTACACGGCTATTATTAATGAAAGTACACGCATTTCATAATTTTGTATTAACTTACTATGATTTTTACAGTTTCTGTGTATAGTTTTTGTATTTTATTTAAACACAAATACAGCATCAACTATTGATTGTTAACTAACTCAAAAATTGATATAATAAAAATACTTAGACTTATTTATAAGAGGACTTTACTATATTTTTTTTAATTATCAGTGACTTACTTATAGTTTACTACGACTATAAAAAGTGTACTTGAGGGTTTGTTCATCTTCCATTAGTTTTGTACAATTTTATTTTTAAAAAACTACTTTATCTTAATATTGTTCTTCTTCTAGAAATATTAATTGGACATTTTTTTGTTAATAAATATAAGCTATGTCATATTCAACGTATAAAATTATTATATTTATTACTTAACTTTTCATTCGATCGCTTTGATGTTTTTCCTACTGATCGTCTTTCTGCTAAGGAACCATATCTTATCATCTTTACGACTATATTATTGTTCTCATTCTGCTTCTATGAACGTTATATTGCTCTAATGACCGTTTTGTAAATTCTGCCTTTTATTTCATTCCCTATATTTTCATTCGTCAATATAGTTTCATTTAGGTATCCTGCCAATCCAATTATTATCTTCAATACATTTGTTGTTATAACCGTGCATTTTTTTGTGAAACTATTATGTTACAGTTTCTGGACGGTCTGTTAAATTAGGCAAGCATTTTTTCTAAATCATCTTCACTGTGAGAATATTTCGTTGTCTATTATAGATTATTTAATTTGTCTTTTCTGATTTGGTATCCATTTTTTTTTTTAATTTTTGATTATTTCATCAATGATCAGGTTGAACAAAAGGGGGCTCAGGGAATCCACTTGTCTAGTTCTATGGCCAACTTTAATTGGGTTAGTTAGTTCTTCTGCCACTTTTACTTTTATTGTGTTTTTCTTCTAGATGTTTTTGATTGTTTTAATTATATTTATAGGCATCTCTATAAGTAGATAGCGTCCCCTACTTTGACTCTGTCAACTGCCTTTTACACGAAATATAAATATGTCGGTTTATATATATATATATATATATATATATATATATTATATATATATATATATATTATATATATATATATATATATATATATATATAACACTGTTTTTGATGGGTTGGAGTCAATAAAAGGGGCTATTTGTTGACTATTTTTTACTCGAGCTTTCAATTGTGATTACAATTTTTATCAAGAGCTTCTAAAAAATACAAAATGTCTTACAAAGTTGAACTAGAAATAAAAAATTTTTTGTTAACTCACCAAATAAAATTAGTTTTTTATATAAAACTACTGCTTACATAATAAATACAAAAAATATTAATAAAAAAATGCCTTATTCTAACAAATAATGTTTCTCTGAAAAATTTAGATGAAGTTTCTTAAGAAAAAAATTGAATTTATAAACAAAAATAGAATAGCTACAACCAGCCTAAAATGTCATAAATACTAACTTAAAAATTTTTATTTTTGACATATTGTCAAAAATAAAATTTTGTTTAAAAAATTCTTCTTTGTTTAGTAACAAAAAGAGAAGGAAGATTTATTCACCATTGATAGATGCCCGAAAAAATGTAACAAATACATGGGAAAATTCAAAATGTACAAACGTCATTACAAATTTTTACATAAAGAAGTCAAAGATCATTTTTTTAAATAAATACTATTTACAAACTAAACTTTTTCTTAAAACCATCCTGAAATTTATATTGTCAAAAGCGAGAAAGGTAACGTAACTGTTGTAATGTATAAAGAGGATTACCTACAAAAACTGGAGAACTCTTAAACGATACTAAGTATTCACTACACTTAGAAGGAGTCCTGTTTGTACTTTACAACAAAAAGCAAATTGTCTGGTATCAAAATTAAACAGTAAGAAATTTATTGATAATAAAAAAGCAAAAGAACTCAAAATTTATAATTCTATTGCACCACGGTTTTATGCTCTACCTAAAATACATAAACCAACTTTATCTATGAGACCAATTGTTTCATCTCTATGCCCTCCAAATGGACCAATAGCACAGCTCCTCACTGACATCTTAACCAATGCTTATAATTTAAACAACAATTTTTACATAAAAGATTCATTTGATTTTAGTTCTTTCATTAATAATTTCCAATTACCACAAAATTATGTTTCAGTTAGTTTTGATGTAACATCTCTTTTTACTAATTTACCTTTAAATTTAATCATAAGTAGTGTTGAAAAACATTGGAATGAGATTTCGCAACATACTAATATTGACTTATTACATTTTAAAACACTCATCAACTTTGTTTTTGATTCTAATATTTTTATATTTAATGGTGTTTTTTATAAACAAATTTTTGGTAGCCCTATGGGATCTAGTCTTTCACCCATTCTAAGTAGCTATGTCATGGATGATGTTATTAGTGATTGTATCAATAATTGCACTTTTTTCATTCCATTTATCAAAAGATATGTAGATGATCTAGTTTTGGCACTTCCTAAACACAAAATTCTTGAAACAGTCAACATTTTCAACAATCATAATCAACATATACAATTTACAGTTGAGGAATAGGTAGATAATTCTCTACCATTCCTTGACATGAGAATTGTAAGAAATACAGACAATATGTTGAAAACTAGATGGTTCAGAAAACCCATATGTAGTAATAGATTTATAAGCTATTACTCTAATCATCCAAATAAAATGAAAATGAACCTTATAACAGGATTAAAGGAACGTGTTTTAAAACTTTCTCATCCAGACTACCTACAAGAAGATCTTCATTTGTTAAAAAATATTTTAATTGAAAACTCTTATCCTCCTGATATGCTACATAGGATGCTTTTTTCTAATTTATTAAATATAAATAACTTAACACCATTTTTTGCTAAATCTCAAAACACTGTATCCAACAATCAAAACATATATTATCATTCACTACCTTTTATACCATCATTAACTCCTAAATTAATACAAACATTAAAGGTTATTGACAATATAAAAATAGCAACAAAGAACATCAAAACTATTTCATCTTTATATTCCAAAACTAAATATCCTATTGACAAATTAGATCAAACCAATGTAGTATACAGCATTGTTTGTACTCAGTGTGAAACTGAGTATATTGGTGAGACTGGAAGAAATCTCTCAAATCGCATTATTTCTCACAAGAGTGATTGTAGAATTAAGAAACCATCTTGTGCTTTGGCAGAGCATGTTAATTTTTATGTAATGAAAGTAATAAATTTAAAAGAACTTTTTTGGAAATGGTTTGTATTAGCAAAAGTGATAATAATTTAAACAAAAGGTCAGAAATTCAAAATTTAAGCAAAATTTATAATTATATAATTTCTATTTAATTTATGCAATCAGTAAAATATCACATTTTGAATTTTCCATGTATTTGTTACATTTTTTCGGGCATCTATCAATGGTGAATAAATCTTCTTCTTTTTTGTTACTAAACAAAGAAGAATTTTTTAAACAAAATTTTATTTTTGACAATATGTCAAAATAAAAATTTTTAAGTTAGTATTTATGACATTTTAGGCTGGTTGTAGCTATTCTATTTTTGTTTATAAATTCAATTTTTTTTTTCTTAAGAAACTTCATCTAAATTTTTCAGAGAAACATTTGTTAGAATAAGGCATTTTTTTATTAATATTTTTTGTATTTATTATGTAAGCAGTAGTTTTATATAAAAAACTAATTTTATTTGGTGAGTTAACAAAAAAATTTTTATTTCTAGTTCAACTTTGTAAGACATTTTGTATTTTTTAGAAGCTCTTGATAAAAATTGTAATCACAATTGAAAGATCGAGTAAAAAATAGTCAACAAATAGCCCCTTTTATTGACTCCAACCCATCAAAAACAGTGTTATATTTTTTCCAAACGAGTTACAAGTACTTCTTTTTTCTTACTCTTATATATATATATATTATATATATATATATTATATATATATATATTATATATATATATATATATATATATATGAAAGGGGTTCATATAACTGTCGCTGTCTCCCTTCTCTCAACCATTTTCTTCATTCTTCTTTATTCTCCCATTCTTCTTCTTCCAATCCTTTTCTTTCTATGGCTTTATCTACCTTATTTCTGAAAGATCTTCTTGGTCTTGAACCCCAAGTATTTAAATTTATCGGTCCCCTTTATTTTACGCCCGTCATCCACTTCCAGGTTTCTTGTTGGTTCTTGTGTTGTCTTCAGATATTCTGTTTTGTTAATGTTTATTTCCAGGCCATTTATATTATATTCCTTTTGTTTTCAAACCATATAACTTAGATCTTCCTCGTCTTGTGCTATTATGACCTGATCGTCGGCGAAACTGAGGATATACAGATGGTCGTTCCTTATGGGTACTCCCATTCTCTCACATTTCCTTTTCCATGGATTTAGGGCGTATTGAAGAAATATTTTAAAGAGTGTAGGCGAAGTAAAGCTGCCCTATAGGAGACCTTTCCTGGTTTTAAATGGTTTTCCAAACTTGTTACCTACCTTGACTGTAACATTAATATGTGTGTACATGGACTTCACTACATGGATCAGCTTATCTTCTACTCACATTTGTTGCATGGCTTCCCACATTCGTTGTCTGGGCACAGAGTCGTATGCCTTTTTCAGGTCAATAAAGGCTAGATAGACTGCTTTGTTCTTTGCCATATTCTTCTATATTAGCTGTTGTATAGTGTAGATGTAATCAATACATGATTTCCCAGCTGTAAAACCTGCATGGTCGTCCTCTATTTTATTTTGGATTTGTTTTTATATTATTTCCATTATTATTATTTTTTCATATAATCTTTCTATAGATTGTAAAAATGCTTAAGCCTATGTAATTTTCACATTTTTTTCTATCCCCTTTCTTGAAAATAGAGATAATATGGGCTGTTGACCTTTCTTCAGGTTGTTGTTCGGTGTCCAAGGCTTTCTGAAACATAGTATGTATTATACGGAACAATTTTTCAGAGCCGTATTTAATTAGCTCGGGTGCTATCCCTCCAGGGACTGCATACTAATTATTTTTTATTTGTTTTATGTTCTTTTTTACTGCTTCCAATGATAAATTTCTTCTTCTTCAGATGCAAATCCACTAATGAATGTTAGCGATCACATTTTACATTAATTCTCTATTTCTTGCAATATGTATCAGAGATTGTATGTCGTTAATCCCTGTCCATTGCCTTATGTTTCGGAGCCAGGACATTTTCTTGCGTCCCATTCCTCCTTGCCTTCAATTTTACCCTCGATTATAAGTTGGAGGAACTGGTATTTTTCATTTCGAATGGAGTGACCTAGATACGCCGTTTTCCTTTTCTTGATGGTTTCCAAAAGTTGGCGTTCTTGGTTTATTCTTTTAAGGACATCTATATTTGTGATTTTCGCTGTCCATGGTATTTTTAGGATACGGCGATAAAGCCACATTTCGAAAGCTTCTAATCTGTTTATATCCCTCGTTTTGAGTGGCCCTCTACGCCATATAGCAGCACTGACCATACGTAACACTTAGTAAACCTTAGTCTCAGTTGAAGATCGAACTCTGAACACGTCAGTACCTTCTTGAATTTTACGAAAGCTTGTCGAGCTTGCTCAATGCGACATTTTACTTCCCTGTCCGATGCCCAGTCTTCAAAAAGCCACGATCCCAGGTATTTAAATTTACTCACTCTTTCTATGGATTTACTATTCAGTGTTATGGTGGAGTTTTCAAGTGCATCCAAGTTTCTGGAGATGATCATGAATTTTGTCTTTTTGGTATTAATCTCTAATCCCATTCACTCACTGTATTCTCCGATTATAGTGACAAGTTGTTGAAGATCGACTATGTTGTCACAAATTAAGACACCATCATCAGCATATCGTATGTTGTTGATCATTACTCCACTCACCTTGATTCCCATCTCTGCATGCTCCAAAGACTCTTGAAATATGGCTTCCGAATAAATGTTAAATAAAAGAGGGGAAAGCACACATCCCTGTCGAACGCCTCTTCTTATATGTATGGGCTTGGATATAGAATTGTCTATTTTTAGCTGTGCCGTTTGATGCCAGTACAAGTTTTCAATGCATCTTATGTCTTTTTGGTCTATATGATAAATTTAGTTGTTCCTTTAGTATTTGTTGTTTGTTGTTCTATTTCCATGAATTTTGTTCGCTTTTCTGGCAGGAGTTCTTGGTAGTAATCATTCCATTGTTTTTTTCTTATGAAAGTAAAATGTGTTTTTCCTGTGTGTTTTCTTTCAGACTCTTTATCACTTTCCAGGATTCTGAGTTCTTTGTACCTCCCATGTATTGTTCGATGTTCTATGTTGATTCCCAGTTATTATGTTTATCTTTTGTGATTAATCTTTTTACCTCTCTGTTCTTCTCTCTGTATCTTTCTAGGTCCACTTGTTCTTTTGAGCTTAACCATTTATGATATAACTGTTTCTTCTGCTCAATACATACTTCCGTGCTTTCTGATAGACGTTGTCGATATCTATTTGTTCTTCTCTCTTTGCAACCTAAGGCTTCTGCTCCTGCTTCCTTTGTCTGTACAAGTCTTTCACAGATTCTTCCCTTAGCAAGTGTAGTTTGTACTTCGTTTCGGCCTGCGTTTCAGTTTCATTTACCACTGTTCTTTTTGATTGATTTGTGGTTTTCCAAGGGAATTGCATGTTTGCTATTAGTAACTTGTGGTCAGACCCACATTCCGCTCTCCTTTTAACTCTGATATCTGTAACTCTGATCGTTGTTCTGATTTTCATTATGAAGTAGTAAATTATAGCTCGGAGGTTTCTTGTTTCTTGGTCCAGGTGAACTTGTGGATATCCTTGTGGCGGTAGAATCCGTTCGTAATTTTCAGTCTGTTTTTTTCACTTATTTCGATTATTTTTTCTCCATTTCCATTTGTCGCTTCTTCTCCATATGTTCCTACCATTTGACGTGTTTATTGCTTTCCCGTTTGACCATTCAGTTCCCCTGTCAGAATAAGTTTTTGGGCTTGTTTGACCTTTTCTATTTGATCTTCTAGGGCTTCCATGAACTGTTCTTTTTCTGTTTCAGGTCTATAACCTGTTGGTCCGTAAACTCCTAAGACTATCATTATTCTTCCCCATAGTTCCAACTCTATTTTTATAATTCTTTCATTGATCGTTTCCCAAGATTTTATAAAAAGAAGATCTGTTGGCCGAAGGCAAAACTCATGGTTACAGAATCTACGTGATTGGTATCAATGCAGATCGATTGATTTGTTTAGAGCAGCAAGTTCTAAAATAACAATAGTGTAGTATAACGTAATGTACAATTTTATGTTTATGACATTCTATTTTTATTGAATAGGTCAAAATTGACAAAGTAAGTCTAAAACGTTAATCACATAAAAACTTTGATCAACCATCAACTTTGAGTTTTTATCGAAGTTAATTTAGTTTCTTTAATTAAAAAACGTTTCTTGACTTATTTTTGATGCCTGTTAAGATGCTCTAGGAAGCGAAAGTACTTGGGAAAGATTTAATTAATAAACTGTGCTCGATATCTGCCTTTTATTTAATAAAAAAATGTAATTTTTATTACAATCAATCGTGACTTTACGCCATAAAAACATATTATTTACTTAGATTTGTTAAAATGTAATTTCTACATAAATTTTAGTAAATTTCAGTAAAAGAAGTAAAAATCTACAATTATATGCTGTATATACTTATACATAATAATTTAATATTGGCTTTATATCTTTTATTTATTTGTTCTAGTTGCTTTTGATTAGTTTCCTTGGAGGTACCTTTGCAGTGGCACCAAATTACTATCCGCAATACTCATCTCAGCCAAATTATTCAAATAAAGTAAATGTACCTATAGTTTCTGAATCGAACGAGATAAGTCCAGATGGAACTTTTGCTTATAGGTAAGGTTCAAAAATGATTTAGTACACCAGTCTAACTGGGAAAAAATTATTGGTTTCACGTAAAAATCTTTGACAAAAATTTAAAGGATTTAATAGTTATATATGGAAAAATCCATGGAGACGTACATCTGAGTTTGCTTTGTTTTGTTTCAAATTATATTCAAAGGTGAAAAAGTAATTTTTTTGCCTATATAACGTTTCTTATGGAGTTTAGAGAAAAATGTTTTAAATAATAAGGTTAGATCTTAAAATATTCTTTAAATCGTGAGTTTCTAAATTAAAATGAATAAAGAATTAACCAAGATAGTTGTATTAAAGTATGCTACATTTCAAATAGATCTTGTAAACAGTTATTTAATTTGTTTATGCCAAAGAGCGAATATTTAAACAATTGTTCTTGCCAAACAGTTGAGGAGCTTGCGTTCAAAAGGGGCTATATCCGTTTAGAAAAAATGTCCAGAAAACGAAAAAAACTTCTTTTCGGTTGGCCTTAGTACTTGGGGATAACAAGATAAGATTTATTTGTAGTGTTTTAGAAAATTAGTTTGATGCAATTTGATTTTTATTTTTTGAGTTAACGTTTTTTGAAAAAAATTGATTATTAATCTGAATATAGATAGACTTGAATTTTTAAAATTCTCAAAAAGAACTAACTAAAACGCCAGAAAACACATTTTTATCATAAAATTGGAACACAAAAGTCAAAAGGAACCAAGAGAAACAAAAAATATTTATATGTGAGAAGCAGGTTTTTCATCCAAACAGTCACATTCCTCGCTCTCATCTATTTCTTTGTCAGTTGATTTTCGTGTCTGCATTAGCGGAAACAAGTAAATCCTAATACCAATTTATATCTCCTCGCAACATCCAATTTTCATCAAACAGCTCTTTCAGAAGCTTCGTAAGACTGGGTTTCTTCGTATCTGGTAACGAGTTTGTAGGCTCTATAGTGTATAGAAACAGGTTCCCATCGCCTTTTTTTTAGCATTATTTAACGCAATTTGTTTCCAGATTACACCAATAATATAGGTGTGTATTTATTTCAATCTTTTGTTGGTTTTGAATGTCTTTTGTGATAAAAATTATTTTTGTTTCAGCAATGCCCTTTACCTAATTGTACACTTTCTCTAGTTCCTTTATATTAAAAAGTTTCCAGTCGTTTTCTAAGAGTTTTACTTCACCATATTCTGAATAAAATTTGACGTACTCCTCTTTAGAAATTATATCTGTATTTTGAATGGGCAACTTCTCCACTCTCCCAAAACAATGATCAGCAGCCATAAAACTGTGTCCGCGGACTGGAAAAGTGATTGAAATTTCACACACATCTTTGGAGACTTATTTTTAAGCCAAAACATAAGTGCATGAACGATGAAGGGATATTTTTGTTTTGACCTGTACACCCATCACAAAATAGTCGAATTTTCTTAATTCCATCGTTGTCAAGAGAATCTAGATGGTAAAGAAACGCTGAAGCATTTTCTGTTGAGCCACGTCCAGCATAATCTTCAGTCCACATGTAGAAAGTTGGATTACGCGAAGACAGCGCGACACAACAAAACGCGTAAAGACTTCAAAGCAGAAACTTAAACTATTTTCTGGAGTTTCTTTGGCTAACTCATAAACATTTCTAATTTCAGGTTTTAGCTCAAATTTGTACTGTTGTTTTAGTCTCGTACATTTACTACACACATTCGAAACGGGCGATGAAAACCCAATGTTAAAATCGTTTATAAAAACCTTTCGGATCATAAAAAATGACACCCCATTATGTGGGTATTTCTTATTAAACATTCTCCATAACTTGGAAACTGACAGACTTGCAGATAACTATATCCTCTTTGACTTTTTCCTATTACAATGGCTTTCGCGCCCTTTTAGTCTCTTGAGAAAATGTCGAACGCATTCTTGTTTATCTTCACTTTTTTTAGGTTTATGATCACCACCTCTATTTTCCTTTGGAACACCACCTGCAAAGAGGACTTTCACAAAAGTATTAACTCTTTTTTTGAAAATACTCAGTGCAGCAAGAAAAAACTTTTGACACACCCGCGTTGCTTTGTTGTCGCGCTCAATAAAATACGAGACACTAAGATTTTTCAAGGGGATGGCATTCACGTCAGCCGATCTATGACGAGCAATAGGAGCGACGGATAACATATGGCACAGTCTAACGTCTTGATTAGTTTTGATCGAATTTGTATTAAATTTCTGCCTTAATGTTTGGATGTGCCGTTTTCTAACTGTAGCACACTGAATTGAAATGATTTTCTTTTATGTTGGCAACGCCTTTCGAATCAAAGCAGTGTTGGATCAGGATCACCATACCTGTAAAATGCAAAGAAACTAGCGTAAAAAAGATTATATTAGAGAAAAATTATAATGATCAGTTTTATTGAATTGAATTTTCAATATTAGGGCCTAATCTTCAATGCCTATAACATAAAATATGTCCAAAAATCGCCAAATTTTAAAAAGAGTATTAGGTGGAATTTGTAGCTGTATTTGTGTCGTTTTCAAAAACAGTACTTGCGTTATCAAAGGGAAGTTTTAAACGTTTTATATCATTTGTAATGTGAAAATTTAAATTTAGCATTTTTTAGAAATATTTCAAAATGCCTCACATGTGTTGCTAAATCCCAAAACCAAAATTTTGGGTTATACATGTTAAAATTTGGATCTAGTAATAAAAATTCCATGGTGATCGGTTAATAAAAGTGATATATATTATTGATCTTATAAAAATCGTAAAAAATGTTAAAAATCCGTAAACGTCTATGTATTTAACACCTTAATAGAAGCTTAGTAAAGACTTAATTGCAGCAAAATCCAGAAATTGCATACAAAATCTGCTTTCTCCAATTTTAAAACGCATTTTGATTTTTGTTGATAAGACACTTTCATCAAAAGATATCGAATTTTTACAGTCGAGTTGAAATAAATTTTATTTAAAATTGATTTCGCGCGTATGAGACATTAAAAATCAACGGTCGCCTCAAGCGTTGTTTATAGGAGAACTGTTTATTCTACAGAAAAACTGGTAATAAACATTTTTATTTAAAATTATCTAAGTAACATTTTTAATTTGAAACATTTTCGTCTGCGGCGTACAGAATCTTCTAGATTTTTTCCCATACGGTGGGGGGTTTTAGGGGAAAGCCGGGGGGTAAAAGTGGTAAAAGTGGATTTTTCGCTTTCTTTTCCGTTTGGAGTTGAAAAGATATATTATGATGAATTTTTAAAAACTCAGTTTTTAATACTACATTTATTTTGTACATAAACTGAAAAAATATAGTTAAAAAACTAATTTATTAATAATTGTCAATTTCACATGTATTTAACAATGTCAAACATATGTCATATATTTAACCTGAAAATTGGGACTCCAAAATTGTCAGATGAAGGCGGTAGGTGTCGCATCAGTCACGCACGGAGCGAATATGAGTTTTCATATACTATATGTAAACTAAAAATAATTTGATCAAAATCAGAATTTGATATCACATCGAAAAGCAAATCTTCAATACTTACAATATTTTGTTCAACAAAAACTAAATTCGATCTATGATATTGTAATATTTCTCGGATTACGCTACCTTTCCTGGATGTTTTAGCTCTAAGAACGATACTGGATATGAGACTCAGGTGTATAGAAAACCAACACACACCAATAGATATTTAAATTTCAAATCAAATCACAATATTAATGTAAAAAAGGGAATAATTAAATCCTTATACGATAGAGCCAAAATTACTTATTCTAACGAAAATTCGTTCTTGGAGGAGAAACATTTGTTAACATCTGTTTTATTAAACAATGATTATCTTTTATCGTTTATAAATTCGGAATTTTCAACAATCGATCGAATAGAACAGAACAACTTAGAACGAGATCCTACAGCATACACAAGGAATAATATGAGGAAAATAACAATACCGTACATAAAAGGATTATTAGAAAAACTTAAAAGGATAGGAAATAAATTCAACATTTCAACAACATTCAAAACAACAAACACGTTGAGATCTATTTTGTCCAAAACCAAACCTAACAATGAACAAGAAAGGACAAAGAATTGCATTTATAAAATACCTTGTGAATGCGATCAGTTTTATTTAGGTGAATCATCAAGGCCATTAAATGTTAGAATAAGTGAACATCAATCTTATATTAAAAATAGAGAATTTGATAGATCTCAAATATGTAAACACGCATGGGATAATAAACATAGGGTTCAATAGAATAATTCAAATGTAGTCCTAAAAGAAACGGATGGTAAAAAAAGAAAAATCAAAGAAGCGGCTCTAATTATGCTAAATGAGGCCAATTGTGTCGCAAATTCCTCGGCAGAATGTAGTAGGATCTGGTTACAAATATTGAAAGAGGAAGTTATTAATAAGAAAATACCAGTATTAGTAAGTCAGTAACATATAGAGGATACATCATTTATGTTTTTTAAATAACGTAACATATAAAATCAGAATTTTGATGTTTGTTGAAGGTAAACTAAATTCACGAACAAATACTTACAATGTCGGGATAGTATTTTGAGGTTTTTTCCTGGTTTTCCCTTATAATTTACCATGGAATCACTAACAGGAGAATTTTACTGTCATCATGCCATGTGTTTGTCTTTTTAAAGACGAATTAGATGCTATGATTTATTTCTGACGGATATTCTCAAGTTAAAGTTGATTTCATGTAATCGAATGAATGAACGAAGAATAGGAAAAGACCCAGAGATTTTGTTAACGCTAAAGCAAAGAAAACTCGAATATTTTGGTCACCTGATGAGAGTACATAAATACGCATTACTTCAAAATATAATGCCGCGAAAAATAGAAGGAAAACGGAATCCAGGCCGTAGAAGAATGGTTTGGCTGCACCACTAATGAACTCTTTAGATCAGCCGTAAACAAGGTCAGAGTAGCCTTGATGATTTCCAATCTCCGATAGGAGTGGCACAAAAAGAAGAAGAATCGAATAAACTATCTTATAAGTATAGTCGTCCCAGGAGCGCAACTCAACAATATTGGCAATATCATTTTAAAGTCGTCTACTTAAGAATACGTCTGAATTGTCAATATAAATGAGTCAGATAAAATTAAATTATTAGAAGAATTTTTCACTATGTAACAAAAAACAAAATTTGTTTAATTTACTGTTTGTATTTTGAGGACGATTTCCGAAGTGGAAATTGAAACGTCAATAAACGTATTTTTATCTTTAATTGTGGCTTATTCCCAGTTAAATGGTAATTAATTTACAATGCCAGAAGAAAATAGCTTCAGAACAATATTAAGATAAAATATGATTGACCGAAGTAGTTTAAGGCAAATTGTACAGGCAGCGAAGATATATCAAGGGTTGTAAAGCTACAGATAGAGGGATAGCGTATATAAAAGATTATCACATGTGTTAGTAATAATAATTGAAGGGGTTAGAATAAAAAGGGTGTAAGTGACATAAACACTGGTTCGAGATAATTAAGCTTAAAGTTGTTTGAATTTAAAAAAGTCCAGGAAATGTTTAATTCATATCTTTGATTGCTTTTATTAGAAGCAAAATATGAAGTTTTAGTTACACCTTAAGTTTTGGACAATATTTTGGTTTTTTTTTTAAAAAGGAGCACTTACACCCTTTTTTTTTTCAAACATTAGTTCAATTTGATTAAAATGAAAAAACAAAAAATTTAGAAACATTTTTATTGAGATTAAATATAGTTACAAACATTAAACTAAACATTATTTTCTGAGTCAGAGTCAAGTAAAGCCGTATCCATCTCACTTTCAGAATCTATAGTATTAGAAGCATCAGCTGTAACCTGCATTGATGTTGATGCAGCACCTCTAATACTGGTTTGTTTAAGTTTATTATCCTTTTTCTGCCTTTTTGCGTTGCCATGTTTTAATTCCTTATAAAAGTCATGATGTCGCGGTGGTATGTATTCCATGAGGGACTGCAAGTTTTTCCATTTTGCTGTGCTGATGCTCAGAGAATTCTCATTTAATTCGGTACAAAACATCTTTCCCAAATTATTGGCTGGTCTACTTTTACCCAAATAAGGATAGGTACATGTAGTGAAAGGAAAATCTTCACTTAGAGTACTCTTAGAATAAAAAGAATAGGTCTCCAAACTTTTGATATATTTGAAGTGACGAATTTCTCTGAACTTCAAACTATATCCTTCGACATCCTTTTTTGGGTCGCCTATTGTAGCATTCAGATGTGAAAATGAAAAGAAATGCTCTTTGTTCATGAGATGTAAAGAAAAACGTTTAGAAGCCAACCTTATTACATCAGCCCAGTCAGAAGGAATAAATACTTGCGGAATTTTTCTTTTGCATTTTTCTATAAGGCCAAAAGACCGGTCACACTCCATATATGTGTGACCGGGTTCTAAAAATTTAGGTTCAATTTCTTCAAGTTGTGTAGCTTTAACCAAAAACATAAATAATTTGCATATTTTTTATTTTTATTTTGGCCGCCACAAGAATCACTGTAGGCGACTAATCTTTTAATCCTAGGAGGCAAGGATTTTACAAAGTCTAATAGACATGACCCTATTTCTTGTGAGCCCCTTGAAGCTATATTTTCAGACCATACATACATGTGAGCTTCATTGGTTAGGAGATTGTAAATACAAAAGTTGTATGTCCAAAGTTGTCTCAAATAAAATACTTTGGATGTGGTCAAGAGTGGTGTTGGTAGAGACTGCTGCAGGTCAAAGCATACCACTACTGTATCTGTCGAAAATCTGTATTTCCCGATGTCGCTTTTCTTCTTGTTTATGGCATTTTCGGCACGTTTCTGATGAAGAGCTAACTGAACCTTACTGTGTGATACTTTAGAATCATCATTAGAATATTTTATAATATTTTGATGGGAATCACAGCGGGAACAGGTGTCTGAATGTGGACGATTAAAGCTTAAGTTAAATTCGCTATTGAAAATATGTCGATAGTAAGAGAGCTTCACAGGAATCTTGTTTTCCTCTTGGCAAGTAGTTTTGTATAAGTCATACATATCGTACATAATCAGACAAGTATTTCGTCTGAGAATTTTCTTTTCTAGAATAATGGCTTGTGTATCTAGGAAACCTTTTAATATGATTGATTACAAAATTGCCTTGCTCATTTTCCATCCTCCTGTGAGTTTGTCCTTTTCCTCTTTTGTCTGGCTCAGCAATACCAAGCTGATTAGTTTTACCACATACAGATGTAATCTTTTACTTGATATATCAAAAGTTTTTAGAAAAAATTGTTTACAAACACGCTTTTCTAATAAAAATATATTTGTGCTAAATTTTCTTTCGTTTGTGCTGTCAATTTTCTTCCTATTTACGTTAGTTTTTTTTTATGCATGATGATAAAAAAGCAGTCTGATGATCATATGACGGTAAATCATAGAAGGCTTTAAAAAGTTCTTGTTTTATTTTGTTGATCTTCCATTCAGATGGACGTCGCAGCCTTATTCTTGTTTTATCTGGAGTAATATGAAGCATCTCATCTGTTAAAACTGCTTCAGCGGTATCAGAGTCAAGATTGTCTTCATTTGCGTCTGATCCGGAAGTAGATGATGGAACGTATTCTTCGTCTTCATCCGTATAGTAAGGATCTGAAAGTATAAAAATAATTTGTAACTTGCTGTGACACTATTCAAATAATAAAAACGATATTGTTACCCGTAACTGTACTTTAGTTTATTTTCGTTTCTGTGAGGTAGTAGATGTTTCTTCTGTTATATTTGCAGTGATTATAGTTTAGTTTATAGTTTACTACTGTACATTGTTTTATAATTTACAACGCGAGATTAAACTTTTAAAATACCTAAAATTTTTTGGATTCTTTTTATTTATGTCTTCACTATAATAATTCTACGTCCCTAATTTATTTTTGCTTCTAATTATGCATAAATATTAAATTTTCCAAAGTAAAAATACTTAAAATAGGTATATAGGTATATTTAATTTACTAAATTAAAACTACGAAAAAAACGCTTTTTTTTAATATGCCCTGTCATGAAAAATACACTTATTACGCCCCTTAAAATATTTTTTAAATTATTTTACATTCTTAATCGAATTAAACCGAAATAACAAAAAATGGATAGTTTTTTAACAGTAACCCCGAAATTAATATGTGCATAAGTATTTAACAATTTTATGCAGATATAGATAATAATGGAAGAAATATAACCACAAAGTTTTATTGTTAACCTTTTGGATATTAATCATAGCTGTAAAATAAAATAATAATCAAAGGGGCTTACCTTCGGTCCTTTTCATTTTTATTTTTTTGGAAAAACAGCTCGTAAATCGATGAACTAATCAATAAACTACTAACACAATCGTAGCACGTGTTTAGAAAAACAGTTAGTTCTTCTAGGAATAGGAAGGGTACAATTACATAAATGGTTCTTTCGGTTGGAATAACAAGGGTGCAAGTGCGTCTACACCCTTTCTATTCCAACGGAAACCGCACCTTCATTCATCTAATTTTTCTACTATGCAATAGATGGCTCCAAATGTATTAAAAATCACTTCTCGAATTTTTATTCTAATAAATATGTACCTTATCTGTTCAGAGCCGTACTTATCTCGAAATAATATGTCAAAAATGCACTTGCACCCTTTTTATTCTAACCCCTTCGATTAATGTTAAATGAAATTATAATTCATTTGTATGGCAAATATATTTGATAAATTTAATTTATACCATTCGTTTTTTTATTATATTATTTTATATTTAAAACTCATATCCATATGCTTCTTTAGTTATAGCACAGGAGATGGTCAAAACGTTCAGGCTCAAGGTTATCTCAAAAACGCTGGAAATAAAGACACCGAATCCGAAGTTATTCAAGGTTCTTATTCCTACACATCACCGGAAGGCACAATTATAACAGTCAACTATATAGCAGACGAATTTGGATTTAGAGCTGAAGGAGCTCACTTGCCCACTCCTCCTCCAATTCCAGAAGCTATTCAAAGATCCTTAGAGTTAATTGCTCAAGCCCAAGGCAGATCAGGAACTGTGTCAACGAGTTATCCAGAACAACGGTCATATAAGTCGAACTACAGAAGCCAGTATAACAGACCATATAAATATTAAATGTTAAATATTTTGTTTCTTACACAAAACTTTGAAATAAATTAATTTAAATCATAAATAATAAAAAAATGTTTAATTTTTTGAAAAATAAAAATACCTAACAGTTGAAAGTATTCCTCTTCAAACTATCAAAGAAATAAAAACTTCCGATTTATGATTTTACATATTTATTAAAAAAAATTAAAATTATCCAAAAGTATTAAAAGTTTTATCAAAACGATTTCGACTCTGCCAACGTTTTGAATCTTTTAAGAAAACTTTAGATCTTTTAAGATAGTTTTAATTAAAATTTATTATTAATTAAAATTGTTTGATAAATATATACCATCACACATCAGAAGTTGTTACTTCTTTGGAAGCTTGTTAAACTATGGTGAGCCAACCACTGGGAGTTTCTCTATTAATTTTTATTTTTATCACATATCTTTGTTGTAATTCTTAATTAGTTGAGAGCCCTCTTGGACCAATACTTATTAAGTGTGTATTATTCTCGCCCAATGATTTTATTTCTTGTTAGTTACCTTTTTTAATTCTCTTGTGACAATACCACCAATATTCTATCTGAGTTTAAGTTGAGCATTGCTAATCGAAAAGTCATCATTTAAAGTAACATTTTTGTTCCACCATTTGTTTGACGCTTATTTTTTAACTGTAGCGTTTAATACAATTAACAACTAGTTGTCACCTTAGTATTTTATTATTTATTTCTTTTTTATTTTCAAAAAAACTCGCTTTAATCTTACACTTACACTTAACTTATTAAATTACAATCTTAAAAACAAAACTAGTTTATCAATATTATTATTTGAGTTCAAAATGCCTTTAAGATTGTTTGGTCAATGGTATTTCATTCTATGAATATACAGATTGAACGAAATAAATTCGGAACATAGGAAACATCATGTATTTCGGCTCATTTCTGCTGTAGGAGGTTGGCCAACAGAAGATTGTCAAATAATTATATTATAAAAACCAATACTTCTGCGGGCTGCTGGATTCTGAACTCATAAAAATTGAAAGCTACACATAAATCTAAGATTTTATTATGCTGTCAAACCACTTATAGTCCAGGAAATGAATCATTTCACCTCGTAATTTTTTCGTCCTGCGTGGATTAACTTGAAATTTTAATAGAAGGTAGGTAATAGCCTAAGGATCAAAATTTATATCGAACCGAAGTGCGCCAAAGCCTTGGGGGTGGTTGCCACCCCATCCCGGGGGTGAAAATTTTTTTTACGTTTTAACTACAGGTTTCGATTAAAAAGTGATTATAAACAAAAAATGTTCTATACATTTTTTTTTTGTAAAACTGATATTTTTCAAGTTATTCGCGATTGAAAGTAACAACTTTTAGAAGAAAAAATCGACGTTTTTAATCGATTTTTCCCGAATAACTCGAAAATGGTGCATTTTATCAAAAAATTGTAGAGAACAAATTTGTAGCTTTTAAAAAGACAAATACAATTCCTTTTTTAAAATATTTTTGCGATAGAATAGGAACCGAAATACGGCCTATCAATGTTCAGCGGTTTTCTTCAAATGCCAAATTTGAAAGATTCAAAGTCAAATATCGAAAAAATGATGCATTTTTGTAAGAAAACTCACGCAACCTTTTTTAAAAAGCATAAATTGATCTATCATAAAAAAAAGACTCTAGCTCAAAAATTGAGTGAGTTGTGATGAAAATAAGGCCAATACCTCATTTTTTTACGAAAAAATCGATGAAAACAACCCCCTAACCACCCCCATAATTAAAATCGATCTTCACCCTTTTGCAATTGTCTTTGCACATGTATTGTTAATACGTCCAAGAAGTTTGACCCATTTAAAATGCTTAGTTTTAGAAAAAGTACAGCTTAAAGCGAGAAACGATTTACAATTTCATATTTTTTACCCTTCTTTTTTTAAATATCCCCAAAAATACTGAATATATGAAAGGAATAAAAATATACTAAATTGTAGCTTTTTTAATGACTAAAATTTTCCCTTATTTAGATTTGTTGCACAATGAATATTTGGCGAGATATAGCCGTTTAAAGCATCGATTTACGATCAAGCACCGTCTTTTTCGAGCCCTTTAAACTTACCCCATTTAAAAACCAAGGGTTCCAAAGAGATTTGATTCAAAGATCCTTGTGGTTTTTAAAAACCTCTACAAAATCGTTTTTGAGGAAACACTCTATCGTTAAAAGTGAGGGAAATACGTTAAAAAACCAATTAATTTTTTTTTCGGAAAATACCATTAGTATAGTACAGTACATTTTGGAGCATAATAATCTACAAAACCGGTATATTGGGTAGTGGGGAGTTATACATTCGAAATTTTAAGCGTTCTTATTTTGAAATCCCATACAATAGAATAAAACATTTGCTCACATGTTTATAGCTTGGCAATGAAAATATCAGAGCAACAGACTGGGGATGGTATTCCAAAGATGGTTTGTTATTACCCGTACGCATGAACAAACAACCTGCAACCGATGAACTTTTAAAAATTATTTTTTGCCAATGCAAAAAAGGATGCGGCGTTTCATGTGCGTGCAGAAAAGTTGGTTTATACTGTAACTTTACTTGTTCTGGGTGCTCAGGTGAAGGGTGCAATAATAGTCCACCATTAATTGAAGAAGATGAGGATGACATAGATCACGAGGAAGATGTAATTGATGACGAATAAAATTAATACTATAATTGTTTTACCTATAAATGTAAATATTTTTAACTATTTATGTAAATGTATAAGAATATATGGTGCCTTTTTATGTTGATAAATTTTTTTGTATTTAATTCTACTTTTTTCAATTTATATCTATTAAATTAGTTTATAAACTGCACCCTTTACAACTTCAATGTTGTAAAGGGTGATTTTCAAAAGTTGAAAAGTTGAAAAATTTTGGCAAAAAATTGTTTTTACCTGTAGCACTCATAACAATTGATTTTTAAGGGTTGAAAATGTATGAAATTGTATTTTAAAGTATAAAAAAATCACTATTTAACTAATCCAAACCAAATTTTACTCATCTTAAAATTTGTAATGTTATTTTACAATTTTTGAAAATTAAAGGTAGTTTTCACCCCTAAGAACATTCAGGGTTTATCGGCATGACATAAACTATAAAGCAGAGGGTGAGTTAAGCTTAATTCCAATTTTTTATGCAGATCGTTCCAAGACGAAATCATTTTCTTCGCATTACTAATTTTTTTACATTAATCTCTACCAAGGGCCGCTTTTTAAGGGTTGAAATATAATGGAACTTTATTCAAAAGCACGAAACTATCATTATTTAATTAATTCAAACCAAATTTTATCCATATTCAGGTTTAATATGTTATTTTATAATTTTTGACAATTAGGGCTAGTTTTCACCCCTAAGAACAATCAGGGTTCATCTACATTATATAAACTATAAAGCAGCGGGTGAATTGAGCTTAAATCCAAATTTTTATTCAAATCGATCCAAGGCGAAATCATTTTTTTAGAATTAGTAATTTTTTCCATTAATCTCTAACAAGGGTTGATTTTTAAGGGTTGAAATATGATGGAACTCTATTCAAAAGTATAAAATAATCATTATTTAACTAATTTAATCCAAATCTTACCCATATTCAGCTTTAATATGTTATTTTATAATTTTTGACAATTAGGGGTAGTTTTCACTCCTAAAACCATTCAGCGCACTTCTGTTCGATATAGATTTTGATCCTTGGCCTATCACCTACCTTCTGTTAAAATTTCAACTCAATTCATGCAGGACGAAAAAATTGCGAGGTTTTAACTTTTTTCGAGCTTCATTTCCTGAACTATTAAAAACTTCCTTAGACAAGCAACATTGTTACACAAACAACATTGTTGCGAGATAGATAGTTGAACGATATTTTATACAATGTCTATACCCAGGTATGGATTTATTTTTGTCCAAGTTTTATATTGGTCCACTATTTCAAATGCAGTTCAAACAGACATATATTAAATTGTATGTTCCGTTTTAAATTCGTTCTATCTGTAGAACTTTTTCTTGCACTTTTCCACTAGCACATGTTTTACTGTAAGGAGTGAACCGCACTGATCACAAATTGGGCGTTCTTCTTTTTTAAACACATGTTCATGGAAAAACTGAGTATGTCCAAGTCGTAGACGGGAAATGATCATTTGCTTTCGTCTAGATACGTCAGGTGGTTGCCATGGTCTAATTTTATTTTTTACTTCCTGAAGCTTTGATGGGGTGTTCTTCCATTTATTGTCCAAGATCTCGAAAATATGTTTAATAAAGTAGCCTTTCAGATCCATACTAACAGATTGGAGAGACATTTGGGTAGTGTTATCATGTATGGCTGCTTTGGCATTTTAGTCGGCTGCTTCATTAACTGCTATTCCCAAGTGTAATAGGACCCAAAAAAACTTGATACGTATATTTATAGTATGTAATTTACTTAGTTTTTTTTGTATAAGTAAAGCTTATGGATTCTAGGTGTATATATTTTTAATTAGTTGTAGTGATGACATAGAATCTCTCACGATTAACATTTTGTTCACCTTATTCGCATTTGCATGTAGTAATGTATATTGTAATAGTATATTGCATAATGTTCTCCTGTGAATAAGGTTGCAGTATCTGGAATTCCATGTTTTAGAATCTCTGTGATGTTAATTATTGCCACCCCGACTCCATTTTCAGTTTTAGACGCGTCTTTGTAGAATATTGTGTAATCGGAATGAGAGTTAATTAGATCTCTGAATATTGTTCTGAAGCTATTTTCTTGTGGCATTGTAAATTAATTACTATTAAACTGGGAATAAGCCACAATTAAAGATAAAAATACATTTATTGACGTTTCAATTTCCACTTCGGAAATCGTTCTCAAAATACAAACAGTAAATTAAACAAATTTTGTTTTTTGTTACATAGTGAAAAATTCTTCTAATAATTTAATTTTATCTGACTCATTTATATTGACAATTCAGACATACATTATGCATTTTAAAGTAGACGACTTTAAAAATTAATTATGTTAAATGAGGCCAATTGT